GTGTGTGTGTGTGAGTGTGTGTGTGTGTGTGTGTGTGTGTGTGTGCGTGTGTGTGTGTGTGTGTGTGTGTGTGTTTAACCCCTGCGTAGTTCATGTAGTTGCGCTGCCACTTTTCTTAGTTCAGCTTCAATCTCCAGCAGCTCCTGAAGAAGAAACACAGAGTTCAGGATTCACTTCATATCTGCTCATCTACATGTTAATGTGCTCATAAATTATGACAAAAATAAACTCCTTTAACATTTAAAGCAGTGGTTTTCAACCAGGCAGCCACAAGCCTAAAAAGTATTTAAGTTAATAAATGATTATTAATTCATGAAATGATCTAAAATGATCTCTATTAATAATAAATTGCATATTTTTATTATTTATAATTTTATTTGACTATTTTATTCATTTTTTAACCCTCAATAACTCTTGAGGAACATATCATTCGTGAAACATCTGAAATCACAAAATTAAATATGTATAGTTTTATGTGCTGCTAATGGAGTCGCTCTGATGAACATCATGCAGCACGTCTGTATCTCTCACCTCATCTTCATCTTCATCTTCATCCTCCTCCTCCTCCTCCTCCTCCTCCTCTTCATCATACTGTCTCTCGTCCTCCTCCTCCTTATTTGACTATTTTATTCATTTTTTAACCCTCAATAACTCTTGAGGAACATATCATTCGTGAAACATCTGAAATCACAAAATTAAATATGTATAGTTTTATGTGCTGCTAATGGAGTCGCTCTGATGAACATCATGCAGCACGTCTGTATCTCTCACCTCATCTTCATCCTCCTCCTCCTCCTCCTCGTCTCTCTCTCTCTCAAACTGTCGTGTGGCCTCATCGCTGGCGTTCTCCATCTCCCGCTTCTCCTTCTTCTTCTCCTCCTCCTCCTTCACGCGCTCCATCTTCCTCACCAGCTCCTGCAGCTCCTCCTGTTTCTCCTCCTTCTCCTTCCCTTTGTTCCAGCTCTTAGTGTCATTCTTCTGCTCCTCCAGCAGCTCCTTCAGCTCCTTCTCCACCTTCTCCTTCTCCACCATCAGCTCCAGCTCGCTCTTCCTCTTCTCCTCCTCCTCCTCCTCGTTCCTCCTGCGTTTCTTCTCCTGTTGTTTCCTCTTCAGCTCCTTCAGCAGCTCCTCCAGCTCCTCGTCTTGTCTCCTCTGGACCTCCGTCTTCTGGATCTCCTCCTGCAGAAGCTCATCCAGGTCTCGCTCATTCTGCTCCTTCATCGCTCCCTCATCTTCCTCCTCCTCCTCTTCCTCGTTGTTGAGCTCGTAGTCGTCTCTTTCGCGGGTGTTTTCATGCTCTCTGTCTTTCTCTGGAGGAAAAACAAAAGCTCATCCAGGTCTCGCTCATTCTGCTCCTTCATCGCTCCCTCGTCTTCCTCCTCCTCCTCTTCCTCATCGTTGAGCTCGTAGTCGTCTCTTTCGCGGGTGTTTTCATGCTCTCTGTCTTTCTCTGGAGGAAAAACAAATATATATATATATGTGTCCCTGCAGCACAAAAGCAGTGTTAAGTCGCTGGGGGATATTTGTAGCAATAGCCAACAATACATTGTATGGGTCACAATTATACATTTCTCTTTCATGCCAAAAATCATTAGGATATTAAGATCATGTTCCATGAAGATATTTAGTAAATCTCCTACCGTAAATATATCCCAACTTTGATTAGTAATATGCATTGCTAAGAGCTTCATTTGAACAACTTTAAAGATGATTTTCTCAATATTTAGATTTTTTTGCACCCTCACATTCCAGATTTTCAAATAGTTGTAAAGTCAATGGAAAGCTATTTATTCAGCTTTCAGATGGTGCATCTAAAAAAAATGAACCCTTATGACTGGTTTTGTGCTCCAGGGTCACATATTATTTTACGAACAACAGCCAATCAGAATCCATTTAATGAGCCCAAGCATTTAAAGGGACAGTTCACCCAAAAATGAATTCTGTCATCATTTGCTCTCCCTCATGTTGTTCTAATCTGGTTTGTTGAACACAAAAGAAGATATTTTGAAGAATGTTAGTAACCAAACCGTTGACGGTAGCCATCGACTCTCATAGTATTTTTTTTTTTCCATGAATGGAATGGCTACCGGCAACAGTTTAGTTACTAACATCCTTCAAAATATCTTCTTTTGGTGATCTGTGTGTGGCAGACTGAACTGAATGGATCTGAATAATGACTCTGTTGTCTTCTATAGAGCTGAAACTGATTTCTGCAGGGTTTGTAGTGTTTGACGGACCGTGCTGGGCCAGCTCCTGTAGCTCTCTCAGCAGACCCTCGTGTCTCTCCTGAGCGTTCAGAACATCATCTGTGAACAAAACCAGCACACAGTCACTCCCTCTCACAGCTTTTTGGGTAAAATAAGTGTTGAACACATCACCAGCTAATTTTAGACCTGAAATTGGGACTGAACCAGCACCTTTAGAAATATATTTAATGAGAAAAATGTTGACGTGTTCAACACTTATTTTGCCCGCTGTATAGTGAAAGTTAATGGGGTGCAATGCTGATTGGTCTCGAACATTCTTCAGAATATAATTTTTAGTGTCTCACAGAAAAAGCTGATTTTTGGATGTCAGAATCTCACCGGTCTCACGTCGCTCACAGCCAACCGTCGGTCCATTAGCACTGATACTGACGCCATCAGAACCACAGTCAGTGCTCTAGTGTGCACACACACACAGACACAGACACAGACACAGACACAGACACACGCACACACACACACAGACAGACAGACAGGGAGACACAGACACACAGACACACACACACAGACAGATACAGACACACACACAGACAGACACACACACACGGGTTAGTCCACAGAGATAAACACACACATCAGAAGACAAAGATCATCAGGGAAATGTGTCTGACCTTCTCTTCCGCCAGAGGGACGCATCTCACTGCAGACGAGAGCAGAAACAGACAGAAATTCAACCCTTTCAGACTGAGCTTGGATTATGATCCACATGGAATAAGAAAACAAAATATATTTTTGTGCCTTTGGAAGTCAGAATCAGAATGCAAATCATTTTTATAGAGTACTGTCGTCAAAGACGCCATTCGAAGCTGAACGCAGACGTTTAAACGGACAGACTATGGATGAAAACTGCTACTTTTAAAGCATAAATTCTTACTATATGGTTAGGGTTAAGGTTACTTGCATTATGCATAATTTATTGTTATTATAATAAGTACACCTAACTTGTGTAACAAGGGCACCTTAAAATAAAGTGTTACCCTAGTTTTTATTCATTTTTATTTCAGTTTTTAGTAGTTAACGATAATAACCCATGTGAGAGCAGAACTGCTGCTTTTTAAACTCCTTCATCTCTAAATATCCTGATTCTGTCTCTTTAACACTCATTTAACGCGCATATTAATGAAGCGGCTCATTAATAAACATGTATATTAATGCTGCTGTCTGAGGGAATATTGGCAGGCGTGTATATGAGTGGCCCTGCGTTTCATTAAAGTGTTAATCATCATCATTAGTGTCTATTAAGGCGAGGTGAATTGGGTGAAAATCATAACTTACCCAGTTGATTGATTACATTGATAATTGCAAACATTTTTTGTATCGCAAGTGTTCTAAAATGTTAGGTTTAAATATGCAAATGAGGAATTATTTCATTTAAATATGAAATATATACCTGAACACTGGATGAAGTCCAAAATTCTTGTTTCATTTTTGTTGTTGTTGACATATTAGAGACAGAGGGAATCTCGTGTTTGTCATAATTCAGGAAAGTACTTAGAACAGACAGAAAACTATATATTTTCAGTGTTGTATATAATCAAGCCAATTACATATGAACAAACCTTCAGGAATACAAATGTAAAGGTGTGTGTAAGTGCTGCTGAAGTGGAGATTTACAGGAGAAAACGCCTTTATAAATATGTGTTGTAGTTGAAATCTATTGACACGAATAGATAAAGTGCTATAAAAGAAACAGGTAACAGTGTCTTTTGGATGTTTTCTTTCCACAAGTCTGAAAAACCCCACTATGAACAACCAAAAAGCCCTAAATCTCAACCTGCACAGGTGTTCTTGCTGCAGTTAATCTGAATAAACAGACTGCTGCTGTAGTTCTGCGTGCACCTGACAATAATCCCAGATTAACTGCTATTCCTGTCTCACCTGATCAGCTCAGACTACACCATCAGAGCATGACATTAAACAAGCAGCCGTTTGAATGTGCATTCATCTTCATGTATGTTATTGGGTAATGTGCATGAATTTATTTTGTTGTGTGTGTAAGAGTCTTATTTTAGGTAGATATGTCTGCGTGCATGCATTGAATTGCGGTTGCTGCTGTAACAATATCATTTCTAGTGAAGGATTAATCAAGTATCTAATAATAAACGCAGGTCTGATCGATTATGTAACGCGAGCCGCTGCTGCTGCTGTGTGAAATCAGGTCTGCATCCAGACATACAGGACACTGATGCAGGTGTATAGCAGACAGAAGCGTCCTCACCTGCAGCGCAGAACACGCACGCCGCCGACCAGACCGCCAGCACGCGCATCACGCACACACACACGGGCGCGCGCACAGCAGAACAGATGATGATGATGATGAAGATTAAGATGACTTGATCGTGTCTGTTTGTGGGGAGAGACTACAGAGAAATCCAGCTGGAGGACATGATGAGCTCTGCGCGCTCCCGCGGCGCGCACGCGCACAGATAGAGCCGGTGCGCGTGTCCGTGCGCGCTCACGGCCGTCTGGGGAGATTAGTGTTAGAAAGAAAATAAACCCACAGCAAAGCACTAATATTTGACTATTATTTTAGCACTTCAACTAAACAAAACTGGGACATCTTGCCTTGGCGACTAGATAGAATAAATACGTTTGATAAAATAAGTTTTATATAAAATGAGTTTTGTTTTTTAGTTTATGATAATAGCCCTGGTATAGATCTAGCTTCAGAATAAAATACTTGGATTTAACGTTTAAAGATTTAAAGAAACTAGCAAGTAATATGAGAAAGAATTCAGCCAATATTTGATGTCCTCATCAGACAGAGACCTGAGCGACTCATAAATACATAAAAATCATCTTCATTATTAATGCAAAAAACACACTTCCAGCAGCTCATGTACCTACACACAGTCTCTCTCTCTCTCTCTCTCTCTCTCACACACACACACACACACACACTCTCTCTCTCACTCACACTCTCACACACACACACTCTCACTCTCACACACTCTCTCACTCACACACACACTCACACACTCTCTCTCACACACACACACTCTCTCTCTCTCTCTCTCACACACACACACACACACACACTCTCTCTCTCACTCACACTCTCACACACACACACTCTCACTCTCACACACTCTCTCACTCACACACACACTCACACACTCTCTCTCACACACACACACTCTCTCTCTCTCTCTCTCACACACACACACACACACACACTCTCTCTCTCACTCACACTCTCACACACACACACTCTCACTCTCACACACTCTCTCACTCACACACACACTCACACACTCTCTCTCACACACACACACTCTCTCTCTCTCTCTCTCACACACACACACACACACACACTCTCTCTCTCACTCACACTCTCACACACACACACTCTCACTCTCACACACTCTCTCACTCACACACACACTCACACACTCTCTCTCACACACACACACTCTCTCTCTCTCTCTCTCACACACACACACACACACACACTCTCTCTCTCACTCACACTCTCACACACACACACTCTCACTCTCACACACTCTCTCACTCACACACACACTCACACACTCTCTCTCACACACACACACTCTCTCTCTCTCTCTCTCACACACACACACACACACACACTCTCTCTCTCACTCACACTCTCACACACACACACTCTCACTCTCACACACTCTCTCACTCACACACACACTCACACACTCTCTCTCACACACACACACTCTCTCTCTCTCTCTCTCACACACACACACACACACACACTCTCTCTCTCACTCACACTCTCACACACACACACTCTCACTCTCACACACTCTCTCACTCACACACACACTCACACACTCTCTCTCACACACACACACTCTCTCTCTCTCTCTCTCACACACACACACACACACACACTCTCTCTCTCACTCACACTCTCACACACACACACTCTCACTCTCACACACTCTCTCACTCACACACACACTCACACACTCTCTCTCACACACACACACTCTCTCTCTCTCTCTCTCACACACACACACACACACACACTCTCTCTCTCACTCACACTCTCACACACACACACTCTCACTCTCACACACTCTCTCACTCACACACACACTCACACACTCTCTCTCACACACACACACTCTCTCTCTCTCTCTCTCACACACACACACACACACACACTCTCTCTCTCACTCACACTCTCACACACACACACTCTCACTCTCACACACTCTCTCACTCACACACACACTCACACACTCTCTCTCACACACACACACTCTCTCTCTCTCTCTCTCACACACACACACACACACACACTCTCTCTCTCACTCACACTCTCACACACACACACTCTCACTCTCACACACTCTCTCACTCACACACACACTCACACACTCTCTCTCACACACACACACTCTCTCTCTCTCTCTCTCACACACACACACACACACACACTCTCTCTCTCACTCACACTCTCACACACACACACTCTCACTCTCACACACTCTCTCACTCACACACACACTCACACACTCTCTCTCACACACACACACTCTCTCTCTCTCTCTCTCACACACACACACACACACACACTCTCTCTCTCACTCACACTCTCACACACACACACTCTCACTCTCACACACTCTCTCACTCACACACACACTCACACACTCTCTCTCACACACACACACTCTCTCTCTCTCTCTCTCACACACACACACACACACACACTCTCTCTCTCACTCACACTCTCACACACACACACTCTCACTCTCACACACTCTCTCACTCACACACACACTCACACACTCTCTCTCACACACACACACTCTCTCTCTCTCTCTCTCACACACACACACACACACACACACTCTCTCTCAAAAGAAAGAGTCACTGAAAGTCTTCAGTAAATGTAAAACATGAACAATTTATTACCATTCTGATGTCCATTCAGGTAAGAAGCATGACAAAGATATTAGAAGAATTGAACCAAACAGAGCAACACACAAGTCCCATCACTCCAGATGTCAGGAATAATAATAATATCTCATGCCAAGCGCCTTTCATCTGTCTGATCTCCAGTAGCTGGCCTGTCCCGAGGTCTCACCGCAGAGAGACAGACAGAAGAGAGAGCTCACATCTTTGGAATGCTTCCCGCCAGTAAAGCTTCTCTTGCCCACACGGATGGGCTCCTGACCTCACGATGACCCACGTTAATGAAGCAATCGATGAAGACCGAGAGCTGGAGTGTGAAGCAGTGCCAGGCTGTTCCGCACACAGAGAAGACATCAGATCAGACCTCTCTCATCCTGATCCAGATCACCACAAACCAGCTACACTGTCACCGCTGTGAACAAATCTCACTCAACTATCACAATAACATGTTTGGACAGGTTTAGAAAATTCAGATCAGAATTCATTAAATGCGCATCATGCCGCAGATGAACGGAATTGTAATATTTTTGGCATTGCAGTAATTGGGAATGTGCTTAACAGTCATGACAATAAACAATCAAAGATTTCTCAGAAAACCAAGGAAGCCCGTTTCTGACACAGGAATACAAAAGGGAATTGCAAAGCTTTAATCTCACAATTCTGTATTTTTGTTTCTACAGAGGAATAAAAAAGAAAGGTAATTGCAACCTTTTTCTCCGATTTTTTTGAAGTTTATATCTCACAATTCTTACTTCATATTTTGCAATTATGAGAAAAAAAAGTGAGATATACAAACTCAAAATACTAAT